TCGACCTGGAAGTCATGCAGCTACACATCCTTCACACCACCTTTATAAGAAACAGGCAAATAATCCCAAAGCAAGTTAATATCAGTGATCGTGTTGAGGAGGCAAATTCCAGGATATCTCCAGGATTAGGATTCTAATCCTCTTCACCCTCATGTCCCACCCCATCAACAGATCATTTGCAAGGATGCATTGAGTATCTCACAATAACTGACATTCATAACGATCTGAAGTTACCAAGAAAAGATTCAGTTGTGTAATTATCTATAGTACATATTCATATAATACTTTAAAGTTTTTCTTCTTTCCAGAAAGGAAACCCATGCCTATCCAACAGTTCTTTCCCTCTCACCTACAGAGAAGTCAGTCAGGCATGCCATACCATCATATTCCATCCACTCACTAACTTCTAGCTCGACGAACGTCACAGACACCTTCAAAGATCAAAGTTCATAGTCGCTATTTTGTGTTTCCAAAGCAGGCAAGAGCATAACATATTTCAGAAAGATTTTTGTTTAAAAAAATATTTTAAGTTTTAGTACCTCACACACCAGGAAAATCCACTTAACCAAAGTGCCAGAGAAATGAAGCTATGTTACTTCAAAAGATCCATTGGTGTTGGTAGTGTCTCCACTGAAAGTTACAAACCCTCTACACCTTCAGGGACAACTAGCTGGAGTTGCCATGACCCAAAACATTCATATCACTAGGTTTACCAACTTTCTGCTTATGAAACTCTTTGAACCCAGTTAAGCTGATTATCAGATTAAAGACCCTTTTACAGTTGTTTGGGCCTGCCAGAGCTTATGGTCAGATGGCAGGGCTTTTGAGAATACAGGGTCACTTCTAAGCTACAAGAAACAATCAGAGGAGAACTTTAGTGAAGGCGTCACCATATTAATATGGAATAAACCCAGAAGCCTGGAAAAAAAGGGATATACCAAATCTTAGAATCACACAGGCCCACATGAAAACAAAATCTAACCAATGGAACTAGGTCTAATAAAATACAGACGTGATACTGTCTACTTGGTGACAGGAAAGATGCTGGCTACTGGGCTAAAATGGAACACTACCCAACCTGTTTATGCAGAACTCCCCCTTCATTTTCTTGGACTTTCCTTTTCGTGACACTTTTCTTTGAAACCTTTCACTGTCTTCAAATATAAAACAATACTAAATGGGGAACAATAAATAGCAGTTAGAAGAAGCAACACTACTTCAGGATTGAAGAAGGTAAGCTTTTTTTTTTTAATGTAAACTAGTTTTAGGAGGAACACTTACTAATTTGGTGAGATTTGCATATGCAGCAAACTACTAGAAACCTGATGAAATGCAGCAAATTTTTTCTGCTGTCATTCCCTATACAGACCAAGGGAAATTAAAGAGTATTAGTCTATATTCTTTTGTAGTTCCTCAATGGATTAAAGCTACTGGATTTCTTGGCTCCTCTCCCTCCTCTCTCCCTTCTCCCTTCCTCCCACACATATCAAACCTCACAGAAGCTAGACCCTTGCTTTTCAACTCCCAGAAGTATAAGGGTAGGAAGATGTTCATTTTTTCTTCTCAGTATACAGTGTCACCTAATTTTCAAAAATATCTATCTAGTAGACACACAATTCTCCCAAACAACTGGATGAGGTATAAAAGGACTGCAGCCTGGACCATTTCTAAAATGCTGCAGCTTCCCAATTTTGAAGAATTAGTATTCAGAATCATGGGGTCACAAATCTAAAGCTAGAAGGGGTGTCAGTGGCCCCCTCCTTTTACAGATGAAGGAACTGAGGTCTACAAAGCTGACTTGTCCAAGGTATCAATGGTCAAAAACATCAAAAGTAGGATTTTGAACCTAGAGCTCTGTCCACAGTGGAAAGTGATATAGTTCAGTGAGGCTGGACTAGATCTTTTACAGTTGGTAATGACAATTCACAGCGAATGGCTTATACTGTGTGCACATGAACGCTCAACTATCCAGGGCAAGGAGGAGAATATTGGGTACCTAATTTGAATCTCTGGGTGTTTTCTTACCTACCAGGCAACAGAATGTACTCTTTCCATCTCAACTCATCCACAGTTTGCCAGTGAACTTCAGCATGCATCCGACAAGACAACAGGAACCTCTTGCTAGGAGGAAAAAAGAGGCGATTTCTTTTGACCATATTAAGTCCTGTCGGTTACCCCCAAGGTTATTTTGTATTCCATAGGATCATGAGTTTGGAGCCAGTAGGAACTGAACAGGCCATTGAGTGCAATCACTTCATTTCACAGATGAAGAAACTGAGACAAACAGAAGTGACTTGCCCAGGGTCACATAGCTAAAAAGTGTTGGAGAACATAATTTGAACTCAGGTCTTTCTGATTATGAGCCCAGCTCCCTATTCACTCCACTATCTAGGTGCCTTTGTTTCATATAATAATGACATTAATAATAGTTAACATTGTTACAGTACTTTAAGGTGTGCACAGAACTTTCCATATACAGGGTGTTCCAAACATCTTAGTCCATAAGCTTCCAAGACTGCACGAAGACTTTTGGGACATGAAGAACAGGAACTGTTTTCCTTATGTGTCCGTAACCTTGGTGCCTAGAACAGTGCCTAGCATATAGTAGAAGCCTAATAAATGCTTATGGATTGACTGTTTGAGATCCTCTGTCAGGGGATTCATATTTGATTCTGGCTTTGCTATTTGTTCCTAGCTGTGAGATTTGGGACAAGTCACTTTTATTCGTGCATTCAGCAAGCATTTTATTAAGTGCCTAATATGTGTCAAGCACTGTGCTAGGCACTGGGGCTACAAAAACAAAATCAAGCCCTGTTCTCCAGGAGATTACATTTTAGGGACGGGAGGAAAGCGGAGAAAATATGTACACAAACACAAAATATATACAAAGTAAATCCAAAGTAATTTAAGGCCTAATGTTGGAAGTGGTACTCAAGGCCTCAGTTTCCTCATTTATTAATTGAAGGAGTTGGACTAGATGGCCTCTAAATTCCCTTCAAAATGCCAATGAATCAATCAATGATCTCAGCATGGGCATTCCTTCCCAAGGCACAAATCCCAACCCATCCAGGCCTGCCAGTGCTGTGTGACTCCTATTCACAGGCCAAATACTTCTCAGCTCTAAAGCTATGAGAGTCTAGCCTGGGATTAGGGAGACGGGAGGCCTGGTCAAGGTCCTGCTTGGGACCTGGTAAGGATGTGGCCCTGGGCAAAAAAAACCCTTCCTTGCCTAGACGTCTAGGAAATAAGGGAGGTGGTTGAGATGAATTTTAATCCAACTCAGCCATTTTGTAGCTCATTCCCAGCCCCTACCACACACAGAGAGACAACATACACAAATCACACACACAGCATACAGAGGCATCACACACAGACACATACAGATACCCCAAGTGGACACACACACACACCACACAAAAAGCCACACTGACATAAGACAGAGAAATAACACTCGAAAAGTATACACACAGCACACACAGTCCAAATGGACTCACACACACCCGGACTCCTACACACCCACACCCGCACACCCACCCACACCCTGGCGCGCGCGCGCACACACCCCCCCACACACACCGTACCCCCCCACACACTCCGGCCACACACACACACACACACACACACACACACACACTCTCTCTCACACACACACACACACAC